CATTCTTTTTTCCTCTAGCAATACATATACTCCTTTCTATTTGATCTACATTTAAAGAAGACATATGTTTGCTAACAGCAACAAAAAAAATCTAAAATAAACAAAGTATATTGCTTTTAAGAAAGCCCTAAATTTACCCTACAGCCTTGTGTAAATCAAGCAGCATAGAATGTTAGGCATACAATACTTTATCTCTAGTAAGCTCCTTAAATAGGATTGCTGACACTTTAACATGACACCTTTACACTCTGTCTAGGGCATACTTTTGCTAGTAACAGAATTCCCCCATCCTAAGATCTAGACAATGCAAAATTCTTGTGCACAAAGTTACAGAGCCAGCTATGTTATAACAGCATCTCAGCCTTCTTTCCTTCACTGCTAGAGGTTTTATTGTTTGGTTAGTCCTAATAGCATTCCCAATGCACACTTCTTCCTTTAATTTTTGTCAGAGGGGTTCAAGCAAATAAAATTTTAAGAAGAAAATTTAGATAAAACATAGAGAAAGCAGGTTATGGAATAAAATAGAGTCTGATATGTTCAGATTTAATTAGCATCCAAAGAAGAGCAGAACAAATGGGAAAAAAATGTCTAGGAAACTATTCATTTTTATTTTATATAATCCAAAATGCAGGATTGCTTTTCATATCACCTATCTGGTACAAATATAAAATATTCTAAAGAATAAACATTTTATGTAGAGATACAATTCGTAGAAAGAATTAATCCTGTGTCCCCGAATGAAACCAAAATATACAAAGGGAAAGCAATTTAAAAGTATTTTTAATTGAGCTGGTTGCTAATTGTTTGATCTCTCTCATTTCCTGGATCACAGCTCTGAGATGTAGCTCTTGAGGAATACAAGTCATGCAAAATTGATCTAAAGTCTCTGACAGATGGAATCTAATGGACATAGTTGCAAGAGTTTGGTGTTATTTCTCCAAATGTTTGCTGGAGATTACTAAACCTGTACAAGGCTGGTGGACAAGTATGTGTGTTTTTGCTTCAAACTAGCTCATAGATTGACATACTATATCAAATGCACCTTTATCAATTATTAAAGTTTATAAAGGAGATTATAAATTGAAGCAGCTGACGTATCTACCTGCATTCAGTGACCTCCACAGGAAAAAAGCAGACAGAAAGGGGAAATACTATCTCAAACCACTGCAAATAAGACCTCCAGAGACTGCCAGACTTCTGGGGCACCAAACACTTGAATTGGCACAATCTTAAGTGAAAAAGATCTCTAGGATTTGTTGTTTCTAGAGTATGTGCGTATACAAATGTATGTATGTATACATAGAAAGAGTATTATTAACAATTTCTGAAATAAAGCAAATATTGTAGCATAATCATATTACTAATTCTGCTCAAGAATTAGGTTATTGGTTCTATGCATTTTTAAATTAATTAAGTATAAGGTTTTCATGCACCGTGCACTGCATACAAGAATTGCCAAAATGTTACCAGACTTTACACTAATATATTATCCTGTCTTTGTTCAGCGAAGCTCAGCAACTTAAATCAAATTCAGAGAGGAAAACAATTGTTTCTAAACGAAGAAGATAGCAAAAGCTGCAGTTGCTTGCACAAGTCAAGTGCCTGCAGTAACACTTGTGTTGCCTTCAGAGGCGTGGCGACCTGGTTCAGGAACGGCACGGTGACCAACCCCAGGCCGCTCGGGCCATCAGCTCACAGACACCAACGTGGTGGACGGCAAACGGCATTTATTGGTGTATAACACGGCACCACACAGCCTGGGTTCACAACGTCACCTCCGTCTGCCTTCATCACAAACCAAGCTAAACGCTATTGGCCATCAGAGGAGGGGCTCCACCCCTCCGCACAGCGCGACATCCTCCGGCCGCCAGACCCTAACTACCTACACACTTGCCCATGTTTAAATACACCGTATCTCTACAACCCAGAAAAAAGAACTAAGTGTTAAACAATCTTTCGTCCTGAAGCTCACATGAACGTTTTACTATACAGCACTCAGGCCTTCTTGTCAAAATTGTAGTTTGTGTCCTTTTCAAAGTATGAAACTTAAATATATTCAAACCAACTACATTTGCAAAACTATCATCACAACACTAACACTTAATTAATAATGAGTCCATTTGTTTCTGCAATCTGAGAGGCTTATGGAAAATATATTTAGTTCAGTGAATTGGCTCCATTAACATGACTATTCTGGAGACTAGAATTCAAGATCAATTTCATGTTAGCATGTTAATCTCTGTGTAACACTAAAAAAAAACTTTGGACAATTTCATCAACAATATTTACATATCCAAAGATTTACTTCACAAACAAATGCCATGTAAGAAATCAAGCAATAAAGACCTCCAACAAATTGACAACAAAAAAGGACATTTCAGCTGCAGAAATATATAAAAGTTAAAAGCCTTTCCCACTTTTTTTTGAACCAGGTACAAACTACTGTTCCCTTGGCTTACAAAGAGGAGAGTACATGTTTGCAAACACTGCTAGGAAAAAAGAAAAGCATGTTAGCCATCTGCATAATCACCAATACTGCACTATGAAACTACATCAGCCAGAATAGATACTGGTGTACTAAATGCTACATTTTCTCTTAAGGAAATGGTGATCCAAAATGGGAAGCAATATTCTACTAGATAACAATCAACCTGAAAACACTTTACTAGCAGAAAATTTTTTGCCTGAAATCAAAATTATAATTTTTCATCTAAGACCTCAAACTTGTGGATAATTTTCATCAGCAACTCTGAATCTTTGTAAAATGTGCATGTCCATTTACTGGCTTGTCTTTTATGTCAGTGCAGTGAGCACAATATTATAAAAATTATTACACTCTGTACAATTGATTACACATAGGGGAGGACAATCATGAACTGGAACTATAGAATTCAAAGTGATCTGCCTGTGGCTGTGTAAGCAAATGTGACTGCAAGACAATCAGCCTCCATGATTGACACTTAACTGTGAAATGAAGGACAATCAAACTAATAAAGGCATAGTATTCTTCAAACTCGGTGAGGCAGCTCCTGTGTAAACTACAAGAACCTTTGAAACTAACAGACATATTTAGCAAGTACTGTTGTCTGTCTCACAGTATTCTCACCCTGTGGGTAACAGGGACAAGACAAGAAGAAACATAAGTGACACATATATGAAGAATTTTATCTGAAATAAGTTAAATTGTGTAGTTTACTTGGTTGGGAGAAGGAAGATGAGAAATTGTTGGTTTTGGCCTCAGTGCAAAGAATATCTGGAGGCTGCTGAGATTTGCATCGAGTTTTACTTTCTAGGAAGTCACCTACTTCTCACAGAGATCAAAATATAGGAATAATCTAAGAACTTCTTTCAACTCCTGTACACAATAGTAGCGAGAACATTTCTAAACCTATTGGGAATTTCTCCACGTATTAGGAAAATTCTCTTTAGTTAGAGAAATCAAACGGATTTTGACACTTTTGCATAAATGAAAGATGTTCAAATATTATATTTTCTTTTTTTTTTTTTAGAAACTGCAGGGTAAAGTTATAAAGAAATGAAATTAGCAGCTAATACTAAACTTCCAGTGATTCATAAACCTTTCAGTCAAGGATTTCATATGGGGGGGTACCCACCTACAAACCTTTCAGTCAAACCACATCAACTGGTTTACTCTTTTATATAGCATAAAGTTATTTTTAAATGAGGTAAGTGCCAACACCTCCTGCCTAGGTTAGGTCATCATACTGAAATAGCCGCTGGTATTGTTAAGAGGACAGAGATAACCAAGACTGAAGAAACTTTAAGGGTAGGTTTTTATAATGCTGTTTTTCCTGATGTCATTTTCCAGATAGGGAAAAAACTGTCACGTACGTGCTTAGCTATGCTTTATTTGATACAAAATCCTTGCAGAAGACCCTTTTTTTTAAACTCTCTATGCTAGTTTGGTGGCAGACACCATTAAAAGATACAGGCAATGCCTCTCCTTGAGAGGATATGGAAAAGTTTGCAAAACTTACTGCTTGGATTTGTTTTGGTATTCACCCAGAAACACACTAAGCTACCCTGACTTTCAAGGGGTGAGTGCTGAGCAGTCTCTAGAGAGCACATCTTTTCGTTGCCTCTCACCCAGCATCTCTAGGATAAAAACGGTACTTGGAGCCAAAAAAACCTTCTTCTTAGAGGGTCCTAGGCACCTCAGGCACACCCTGATACTCCTGCAGAAGTCCTCTCTAAACACCACGTTCCCTCCTTTCCTTTCCTACGAAGTCTTTTAACCCGCCTGACTAAACAACGGGCTCCCCTTTCACACTGCAGCCCCCGTGGCCGCAGGCAGACGAGACACGCACCTGCGGCCGGCGGGCTAAGCGCTCGTGACTGCCGGCCCACACCAGGCAGGACGCGGGGGCGGGCAACGGCGGCGGGGGGAGGCCGCAAGGCCGGCGGGCGGCCTTACGTGCGGAGGAGAGGCGGTGCCCGCCTGTGCGCACCAGTCACGGCTGCGCGCCGGCGTCGCCACCCCCACAGCGGGCGGCCGTTAGTGCGCAAGGCCAGCTGCCGGCGTGGGACCGAGGAGGGCGGGAAGGCGCTTAACTGAACGCTGGCACGGTTATACCTTATCTTCTCTCACCTCTCCTACCCTGTCCCCCTCCTTCCCTCGCTCCCGTCCTTTTCCACTCTCTCGGTGGGGAAGGGGCGGCTCCGCCGAGCGCGGCCCAGGGCTCGCGGGGGGAGGGGCGGCGGGCGCT